TATTTGAGCCTTCTGTCTTTTTTCTTAGTGAATCTAGCTAAGGGTTTGTCATTTTTATTTATCTATTCAAAGAACCAGTTCTTAGTTTCATTGATCTTTTCTGTTGTCTTTCTACTCTCTATTTCATTTGTTTTCTCTCTGATTTTTATTATTTCCTTCTTTCTACTGACTTAGGCCTTTATTTTTCTTTTCTAGTTCTTTTAAGTGTGTTAGATTGGGATTTTTCTTGTTTCTTGGTGTAGGCCTTTATTGTTATATACGTGCCTCTTCATACCACTTTTGCTGCATCCCTTTGGTTTTGGTATGTTGTGTGTTTCATTTTCATTCGTCTCCAGGTATTTTTTTAATTTCTCCTTTGATTTCTTCATTGATCCAATAGTTGTTCAGGAACATGTTGTTTAGTCTCCACATATTTGTGACCTTTCCAGTTTTCTTCTTGTAGTTGATTTCTAGTTTCATACCATTGTGGTTGAAAAAGAGACTTGATATGATTTCAATCTTCTTAAATTTATTGAGTCTTGTTTTGCTTCCCAAAATATGGTCTATCTTTTGAGAATATTCCATGTGCACTTGAGAAGAATGTATATTCTGCTGCTTTTGGATGGAATGTTCTCTCTCCATGTATATCTATTAAGTCTATCTGGTCTAGTGTTTCATTAAGGCCAATGTTTCCTTGTTGACTCTCTGAATGATCTACCCATTGATGGAAGTGGGGTATTAAAGTCCTCTGCTATTATTGTGTTGCTGTCAATTTCTCCCTTTATATCTGTTAATAATTGCTCTATATAATTAGGTGCCCCTACATCCTATTAGTAAATGCTATGTCTTTTTGATGTATTGTCCCCTTTACCAGTATATAATGTCCATCTTTGTCTTTTGTGTTTTTCTTTCCTTGAGGTATAATACAAGTGTGGCTATTCTTGCTTTCTTTTGTTTGTCATTTGCTTGGAGTATCATCTATCCCTTCATTTGAGCCTATGGTTGTATTTAGAGCTGAGATGGGCCTTCTGAAGGCAGCATATTGTTAGGTCTTTTTTTTTTAATCCATCCAGCCATTCTCTGTCTTTTGACTGGTGAATTCAATTCATTTACATTTAGGGTGATTATTGATACATGAACACTTAATACTGCCATTGAATCTTTTGTTTTCTTCCCTATATTTCCATTGTTTCTTTTCCCTTGTGTTTCTGTCTGCCATTTCAGTTTGGTGGTTTTCTGTGATGTATTTCTCAGTTTCCTCTTTTTTTTGTATTTCACAAATCTGCTCTGAACTTTTGTTTTGTGGTTACCAGGAGGTTTGTATAAAAGGTCTCATAGAGGAGATAGTCCTTTTTCTGCTGATAGCATCTGATCTTTATTTGCCTATGCAGGTTCTATCCTTTTCCTCTTCCTTTTTTGTGTTTTTGTTGTCACAAATTACCCCTTTTTGTATAGTGAGTTTATTACCAAATTGAATTGATTATAGTTATTTTTGATGCTTTCTTTCCATTTAGCCTTTATGTTATAATTGTTTACTAACCTATTCTGATACAGAGTTGCAATTTTCTGATTCTGTCTGTCTGTTTATCACCTTGCTCAAAGCTTTGCATGCCTACCTTTGCCTTTTTGTTTCAGATAGGAGGGATCTTTTTAACATTTCTTGTAAATGATGTCTAGTGGTGATAAACTCCCGCAGCTTTTGTTTGTCTGGCAAAGCCTTTATTTCCCCTTCATATTTGAAGGATAACTTCACTGGATAGAGTATTCTTGGCTGATAGTTTTTATCTTTCAATATTTTGAATGTAGCACTCCACTCTCTCCTAGCCTGCAGAGTTTCTGCTGAGAAATCTGCTGATAGCCTAATAGGAACTCCTTTGTAAATTATTTTCTTCTCTCTTGCCACCCTTAATATTCTTTCTCTCTCATTGACTTTTGACAGTTTTACTACAATATGCCTTGGAGAAACTCTTTTTGTGTTAAGATAATTAGGTATTCTATTAACCTCATGTACTTGTATATCCAGTTTCTTCTCCAGGTTTGGGAAGTTCTCAGCCACTATTTCTTTAAAGGTTTTCTGCTCCGTTCTCCCTCTCTTCTCCTTCTGAGACTCCAATTATTCATATATTATTTAACTGATTGGTGTCCCAGAGTTCATACAGACTTTTTTCATTTTTTTAAATTCTGTTTTCTTTGCTCTTTTTTGACTGTATTATTTCAACAGTACTGTCTTCTACTTCACAAATTATTTCTTCTGCTTTGTCCATTATGCTGTTAATGTTCTCCATTATATTTTTCATTTCATTTGTTGTATTCTTCAGGTCTAGAATTTCTTTTCGATTCTTTTTTATGATTGTATCTCTCTGTTAAAGTTTTCATTTTGTTTGTGCATTGTTTTCCTGCTTTCATCGAGCTGCCTTTCTTGTTTTCCCATAATTTACTAAGCTTCCTTAAAACAGCTATTTTGAATTCTTCATCAGTTAAATTGAAAATCTCCATTTCTTTGGGGTTGTTGGAAAATTATTGTATCTCTTTCATGGTATACTTTCTTGATTTTTCATGTTCCTTGATGTCCTGCACTGCTGTCATTGCATTTGAAGAAACAGTCACCTCCTCCAGGCTTTACTGACTAGCTTCCAGAAAGAAATCCATTCTGTCAGCCCTGCTAGGAATTGTGAGGCTTTCTCAGACCTTTTCTATGGTATTTCTGCTCCACAATTCTTTCTCCCTTTTGTGGCAGAATTATTAAGCTTTCTCTCTATCCTTTAAAGCCAGGCTTGTTGCTGACAATCTCCCTTTTGCTTTCCCGAGGGCAGTGCTGAGTGCCCAAGTTGGTGGATTCTCCAAGGCCTGTAGATTCAGGCTTGCTTTCTGTGAGTGCTCTCTAGCTGTCAGTAAAAGCTCACACTTACTGCTTCAGGAGCACCCTTAGGGAGCCAGTCATAGGCTGGTGGTTTGTGTGGGTGAAGCATTGGGGGTCCTGTGGGCCAGTTTTGGAGGATGCACAGTTGAGGTGTTCTCAGCAGCAGCTGTGTGAGCCTCCTGGTGGAGTCCTTGGCATGGTTTGTAGTATCTAGATCCCTTTTGTATGTTCTGTTCTGAGCCCTGGCTGCTGTCTCAGTCACTCACCAACCGTCCCCCCCCCCCCCCCCCCCCCCCCCCCCCCCGCCAACATGTCACGAAACACGTGACTCATTCCTCTGCATGGGACAAGAGAGAAAAGGGCCTTTTTGGCAGTGTTCTGCACAGCCAGAGAAGATGGGTGCTCACTAACATGTTTTCATTTTCTCAAATGGGAGAAATTATGAGAAGGGTTTCCTTGCCACTGAAGTATGCTGCCTGTGGTGGGGGAGTGATGCAGGTAAAGTCAAACTGTTCCTCTTACCCTCTTCAATGCATCCAATCTTGGATTACTTTTTGCTCCAACAGTGTGCTAGAACTTCTCTGCTGAACTCCTGGGCTTAAACAAAGGTTCTCTCATCTGTGGTTGATCGTCAAATTGGTTTTGTCTAGGGGGAAGATGGTAGAAAATTCCTACTCTACCATATGGATGTCATCACTGTAATCTTCCTTCTCTTTTGCCAAATACTCTATAGGAAATGTCACTTCTTGCTTTAATTCTCCAATATCTCCAATTTTTTCAAAATTATTTAGAGAGCTTTCTCCCTTTTTGTTGATAAAGTTTCTTCTTTTGTAGCATTTTAAAGGAATAGTATTTTTAGTATTTGCAAATGTAGATGTACGAAAGCTCTTCCTCCTCTTCCTAGGTAAATTAAAATAATTAGCAGCAAAGCCCTCATTGTTTTTTTTTCTTTTTATCTGATATGGAGGGCAGCATACATATTTTTGGTCTGATGGACACAGTTTCTATTCTCAGCATCTTTCTTAATTTTGACCTTTATCCCAATCCTGTTTTACTTTAAACTGCATATTCATTTGCGTATTTCATCTGTACACCATATTTACAAAGATCCCTTTGTAAGGATCATTTTGGAGATCAGAGCTCTATGAACAAACCACCAGCTTTCTCTTCCCCTTTCAACAAATGTTTATTAGATTTATTTTTAATAAATCCTACTTATTATAAAAGGAATGTGTGTTATTGTAGAATACTTCCATTTAACAAAGAATTATAAACTTCATATTATTTAATCATTGGCTAGAGGTTAAACTGAAGCCACAGGCCAAGAAATTTAGTAAGAAGTTGTAATTGAGAAATATATTTGACACAATTTACTTCAAAAGCCATTACTCCAAGATGGCCATTCACATTTGTCAAGAGAAAAAGCTGGAGAGGATTTTTAGGTCACTAAAAATAAAAACTTTAATGCCTCGTAGGGTAATGGCACCATACTGTCAAATTTAGGTTTACTCTTGATCTTATTTTTATTAAAGTATCAAAGATAGATTGTTTGTATGATGATACTTTGGTACATCTTGGTATTAAAAATTGAATATAATTTTGGATGCAGTGGTATAGAAGACTAGCTATCTCAAATTTCCCTTCTGATTCAAACAACTAAAATGCTAGATTAAAAAATTTACTTTAAAAAGCTTTATGCTTAGATGGCATAAAAATATACTCTAGAGATCAAAAAGGAACTGAAAGCATTTAATGTAGGGATACCTAATAAAAAGGTGTGTGTGTGTGTGTGTGTACACATTTTTTATAAAATTAGTTGACCTGGGGTAATGTGGGTAGTGGGGGAGAGGACAAGGTAGAAAATTCCACAATAAAGGAAAATAAAAAATAAAGAGAACACAATAAGATATTTTTTAAAATACTTGTGTAGAACAATATATATATAATTTATGACTGCATATAATAAAAGCTGAGTAAGGAGGGAATGAGATTATAACAGCATAGAAAGGGAATCATTAGAATGTTGCATTTTTTTATATTAGTGTTATATGTTTTCTGAATGTTTAAAAGATTTCACAAAGAGGAAAATGAAAAAGCATACTGCAAAATGTATTCTAGGTAATTAGATACTTATTTTATATTCTTCTATATTATTTCTTACCTTGATTGTCTAAGGGTGAAAAATTAACTGCATTTGTTGAGAATTTACTTTGTCCAATGTACTTGGTAAAAACATCTTGATCTTCTGTGGACAAGTATCTTGTTTTAAGTAAATTCATATCTAAAATAAAAATTAAGAAAAATTTCACAGACACTATGACCATTGCCCACTACTACAATCACCATGTATTTATGCAATTGTAAATTTTTCTTCCCACATTTGAGTGACCACTTGTCTATCACTCCAATTTCTATAAACTATTTATTCATTTTCTCTTCATTTTCTTTGTTCTGTGTTCTTAGAAGGCATCTTCCTTAACTTTGACCTTTAATCCAGCCACATTTTATCTTAAACAAGAATATTCGTTTCTATATTTGATCTGCAGTCTCCTTTCAACTCTTTTCTTCTTAGCAATTTCTATCTCTTAAATTTTATTTAGAATATTTAATTATAAATTCACCATTAATAAATAAATATAAATTAATTTAGTTTTTAAAAGGTGTGGTATTTTAAATTGACTGGACATAAATAATAGTGCTTTACTGCTGAGTCTAAGGTTATTATTCAAAATTGACAAAGACCTCTATTAATAAGCAACACAGAAGCAAAAAGTAATCAAAATTACCTAAAAGAAAATAATCTAAAAATTAAATACATAGAAAATGGCTCATCATAATTTAGCAAATTTGTTAAAGTAAAACACAAAACAAATTTAACTGTTTGGTTCAAACAATTTCATTTTTACACCACCAGCTTTTCCCCAGTTATAACCTGTTTGAGTAAATAATTTTTTTGATTCATTTTTAGTAATACTTTTTTCAGGAATAAAAATGTGAATATAATGAAATAAATAAATAATTCAAAAGCAAAATTTCAGAAAACAGGCCTTAATCTTTAATTTCAGTGGGAACGCATATTATGGTGCCTGTATCTAAGGATTCATCTACTTCCAAATTCTAGCCTTTAGCATTGATTCTATAAAAATTTCATAATTATAGTATTTCTTGTATCAAAGAGAAATATATCTAACACTGTTACTCCAGGACTAAAAGCAGTAGTATAATCTGTGAATTATAGAACACAGTTAGAGAACTCTACTCTAGAAGAGATATAAATTTACATGCCAGCTTGATTATGTAGAGGGAATTGGTAACCAATGAAATCTATCTGTTATATTGCTCTTCTTATAAGTCATCAACTAGCCTTTTTGCTTTTTCCAAATTCAAAGCAACTTTCCTTTCTAAGCCAGCAACAGAAAGTGAGCAGATTAGCAGTTGGAGATGTTTACACCAAGCAGATTTTAAGGTCACAAGAGCTTTGGATTTTATGGATTACTTTCTAAATAGATGAGTTTTAAAACTAATAATATCTAGCTAATTTTCTATTGATAGTAAATACTAGAGTTTAATTATAAGAGGGAATTCATGGAGATTTTTACACATATAATAACATATAGTTACTGTTGTCATTAAAGATCCATACTTAATTAAATCCCAGAGAAGATATAAACCATAAATATTAGACTTAAAAAATTTCTTGTTCTCACCAGGGCGACCCTTAAGTTGTGTCATTTCACCAATTAGTTTTTCTCTTCCAACAGTATCTGTCAAGCGTTCTCTATCAGTCTCTATAGACATAAAACAGATTTCAAACACTTTGTAGGGTAACCATTAATGTCTTTGTGTTTGTGTGTATGTAGTACTAACTTAATTAGAATCTGTTATTCTAGAAGAAGAGAAATAATACATCTGTGTTGCACAATCATAAACCCCTAGAATTTGAAGAGCTCTTAGCCATCATACAAGCCTCACTATTTTGAAGCTTAGGGATGTTTCAAATTTTGATCAAGAATACATGTCAAGCTAATGATAAAAATGATGCACAAACTAACACCCCATAATTCCTTAACTAGTGCTTTTTCTACGCAATGCTATCTCTTGTACAAATTTACATAATCATGGAGAGTTTATGTTAATAATGTAACTTCCAAGTTTACTCTAAGAGGGCATTCATACCGTATGAATATACTTGAGGTAGAACATGGATACAAGTCAAGTTACAAACTATGGTCGCACATCATAGAAAGTTACTATGAGTCAGAAATTCTTTGACTCTTTCAAGAATATTTTATACCATTTTTAAAATTATTGTAAATCAGGCAGGCATCAATGACAGAAAAGAATAACAAGATATTCTGTGGTCTAAGAAAAGATGCTTATCATTCAGTAGCTGGGGAGGGGGAAATGGGTAAATTTGCAGTAGTACCAGCCTTGGGATGGTATCCCATTCATTTGCGTTTTTCTGTGATTTGAACATTTGGCTGAGTTTAGAAACTACTAACTAGGTCAAATGAGAAAAACATACATAAAAGTTATTAAAGAGGAATTCATATTGAAAAAGGGATAATTAGGATTGGTGACTTGGGTCAAATAATATGCTTAACGTCTTGTGAATGAAATTTGGTTATAGGAGAGCATGTACTAGAGGTTAGAAACCTATCATGAACCCGACATCATAAGGTGGATCTTGTTTTCTTGTAATAGCTGACCAAGAATAAATGTTAAACATTGCACTATGACCTTTGGAGCCCAAATACATACCCATTGCAATCTAAGAAGAGGTGGAGACCAGCTTGGGTATCATTACCAAAATGAATCAAAACACATAATATCTGATAGAACAAGTTTCAATGAGTACAAAACCACATTTTGTGAAAGTATTTCAGCTACAGCAATGCAAAACAGGGAATATCAGTAGACATATTTGAGGCTCTCTTGATCTTTCTCCAACTAGAATAAGTAAGAATGACTGGTCCATTTGAAGCAAACAAGAAAGATGCTTAAATAAGCTAGGAGGTATTAAGAAGAGCATGTGACAGGCAGATAGATCTAAGGACTAGGAAAAAAATGTATGTGCTAGAGAAACTTATAATCCAATTAAGAATTACAGCTTCTCTCCTTCACAATATTCCCCAGCTGCTTTAATTCTTTTTAAAATCTACCCATCCTGAAGTTCGTAGTGTATGGTTCACGCTTTAGTGTTTGTTTGCATGTCTCTTTTTTTTTGGATAGAAACTGGGGGTTTTAGATAATAAATTGTAACAAATAAGGATCGTGAGTTCCTCTCCCCTTTGGAGGCTTGTTGTTGTTGTTTGCCTGCTTATTTGTTTAGTGATTAGGCTGGACTATTTTCTATTTTACTGAAGTCTCCTTCACTGTAGCATGAAGCTTCTAATGTTCTTCCTCTGAGGACACAGACTTGGACATGCACACAATCACCTTAGGATGACAGTTGTTTTGAAAGGGCTCTCTTTGTTCTTTCCCTTATTTCTCTGTGAAGCTCTCTGCCTCTTTTGGTATCACACCAAAGATCAGGAGGAAGTGTGTCAAACGTTGTTATGCCAGAACAAGAGACAGTAGTGTAAACTGTGAACTATATAACAAAACTACAGATCTCTACTTCACCTGAGATATTATAAATTTGCCTGATTTTCTGGTTATCTAGAGGGAATTGGTAACCAATGAAATAACTATCTGCTAAATTCCTCTTTGTATCATATTCATAAGTTAACATTTCTGCTTTTGCAAATACAAAGCAACTATCCTATCTAGCCTGAGAAAAACAGTGAGTATAATAGCATTTGAAATGCTTCCATCAAGCATATTCCAAACTCACTATAGCATTGGAATTTATGGATCACTTTTTTTTTTTGAGGAAGATTAGCTTTGAGCTAACATCTACCGCCAATCCTTCTCTTTTTTGCTGAGGAAGATTGGCCCTGAGCTAACATTCATGCCCATCTTCCTCTATTTTTTATATGTAACACACCTGCCACAGCGTGCCTTGATAAGTGGTGCATAGATCTGCACCCAGGATCTGAACCCTGGGCCCCCAAAGTGGAACATGCTAACTTAACTGCTGCACCACCGGGCTGGCCCCTATGGATCACGTTTTTAATTGATGAGTACTAAAACTTACAATATGTAGCTAATTTTCCATTGATAGCAACTGCTAGAGCTCCAGTAATTATAGGAGGGAATTTATGAAGACATCTTATCATGTAATAATAGCACACAGGTACTGTAGTCATTAAAGATCCAAACTTAAATAAACTCCAGAAGAAAAATAAGCCACAAATGGACATGAAATATTCTTGTTCTTACCAAGATGACTCTTTGATTGTGTCTTGATTTCTCCTTTTATTATACCTCTTCCAATAATATCTGAGAACCATTTTGTATCAGTCTCTATAAAACAGTTTCAAAACACTTTTGTAAAGTAAATATTAACATATGTGTGTTTGTGTGTGTGTGTGTGTGTGTGTGTGTGTGTGTCTAGTACTCTTCTAAATAGCATTTTTTTAATTATAGGAGAAGATTTATAATAAAATGTCTGGATTTCAGAAACATAATACCCTAGAATCAGAAGAGCCAGTAGCAATCATGCAAGCCTCATTATCTTAAAGATGTTTAGTGATTTAACCAAAGTGACATATCCAGGTCATGACAAAATTGATGCACAAACTGATGCTTCCTAGTTTTTAACTAGTGCTCTCTCCATAAAATAAAAACTCTTTTTCAAATTTAAATCATCCTATAGAGTTTACCTTAATAAAAAAAAATACAACTGTCATGTGTATATTAACAACACTTATGTATGGTAGGGATATACCCGGTGAGGCAAAACATAATATTTTTTCCCAGATCAAGTTGCAAACTATGGACATATCATACTCACAGAATGTTACTGTGAGGAAGAAATCCTTTGACTTGGGTTCAGGAATATTTTAATGCCCATTTTTAAGGTTATGTAACTGTAAGTCAAGTAGGCATCAGTGATGGAAAAGAATAACAAGTAATTTGTGGACTGAGCTACAGCGCCTTCTCAGGTCCTCTCAGCAGTGGACCTTCTAGCTAGGGAGGAGAAAATGGGTAATTTGCAGTAATGTGAGCGTTGGTATTGCATCCCTTTCCATTTGAGTCTTTATATGATTTTTACTTTTTGCTAGATTTAGAAACTACTATCTAGGTCTGATAACAGAAAAACAAAATTAAATTTATTTAAATGAATTTGATATTTCAAAAGGAATAATTAGAATTGCTGACTCTGGGTCACCTATTAGGTAAAGTTTTGTGGGTAAAAATTTGTTCTGACAGAGCATGTAACTGAAGTTGGAAACCTGTCATGATCTAGACATCATAGGTTGGGAGTCTTGCTTTAGAGAAATGACTGAGCCCATGAATATTTAAGGTTTCACTGTCACCATGGTAGCACAAATATACCACCACTGTAATCTAAACAGAGGTGGAGACCAGATAGGGCATCATTACTAAAACCAAAGACACATTGGATTGGGCAGAACAAGTTTTCAATAATTATGTAATGCTATTTGTGAAAGTGATAGGAGCTATAGCGACACATAACTGGAGAACATCAGCATATTTTAGCCCTCCGGTCTTCCTGCAACAGGTATAGTTAGAAGAACTGACTCATTTGAATTGAGAAAACAGAGGATGCTTAGATAAGCAGGGAGACAATGAGAACAGCCTTTGAGGGAAGATTGTGTTAAACACTAGAAGCATAAAAGGTATGTGGTGGAGAAACTTATAATCTATTGAGTCATAATTTTCCTCCTTCACAATACCCTCCCATTGCTTTTAAGTCTTTTTAAAAAATCCTACCCTGCTTAGAGTTCCCTGAGCTATTTTTTAAAAAACATATACTATACAACTTGCTTGTTTTAAATGTCTAATTAATGGTATTAATATAATCATGGAATTGTGTAACTATTACCATAGTCAGTTTTAGAATCTATTTCAGATTTGTACGAATTAAATTCCAGGGAGATAGAGAAATATGACTCACATAGTTTTGGTCCCTCTTCCCCATTTTCATGATATTGTATTACATGGTACATATATAAATATTAAAGACATTGTTAAAATTATTTTTTATGAAATTTCATAACTTTTAAAGAAGCTGAGAGAAGAAACTAGAGCAACCACATATTTATAGTGTTTGTTATATTAACCTTCTTATTTACAATCTTTGGTTCTTTTCATTGGTTCCTGTGGATTCAAGTAATTTTCTTACTCCAATTCATCCTTGCTCTCACCATCTTCTTTGTGCTGCTCTTGTGAAATATATTATGTTTGTACATTAGAGCCCCAACAATACATTTTATACCTATTGTTTTGTACAATTGCCTTTTAAATCAATTAAGAGAAGAAATAAGAAAAATATGCATTTATATGGTATTTTATAATTCTAAAATTACTTTAAGCCTTTTTTTGTTGTTTTGTTTTATTTTTTATTTCTCTTTTGTCAATTTAGATTACTTTGTGAGCTCACTTACTTTTAGCAGCAAGAACTTTCTTTAGTATTTCTTGTAAGGTGGGTATGCTAGCATTGAGTTCTCTCATTTTTTATTTGGAAGTCTCTTTATTTAAACTTCATTTTTGAAAGATAGTTTTGCCTGATATATGACTCTTGATTGACAGATTTTTCTTTTAGCACTTTGACTATTCCATCCCACTGCCTTCTGGCCCCACAGTTTCTGATGCTGAGCCAGCTGTCAATCTTACTGTGGTTCTATTTACATGACCCATTCTTTTTCTCTTGCTGCTTTCAAGGTTTTCTCTTTGTCTTTCAATATTTTTACCATGATGAGTCTGGTTGTGGATTTCTTTGTCCTTATTCTACTTAGATTTCATTGGGCTTAGATTTGTAGATTAATAATTTTCATTAGTTTTAAAATTTTTCAGCTATCTTTCTTTAAACATTTTTACTGCTCCTTTTTCTATCTCTGCTCTCCCTTGAGTATCCTCATAACCTTAAGTTTGCTGATTTTTTTCTTAAGAAAAGTCTAAACTTCTCTTCAACCCCTCCAGTGATTTTTTCATTTCATTTGCTGTAACTTTCAAATTCAGAATTTGCATTTGGTTCTTTTATATTAATTTTTATCTATTTGTCAATATTGTTTATTTGATGCAATAGTTTCACCATATCTTCATTTTCTTCTTTAAGTATAGTTTCCTTTAATTCTTTAAACATATTTATAATAACTATTTTGTAGTCATTGTCTGCTAAGTCCAATATCTAGAACTCTCATAAGTGTTTTTTGTTGCCTGCTATTTCCTATGCTTAAGTCATAATTTACCACTTCTTTGAATGTCTTGATTTTTTTGGGTAATAACTAGACATTTTAGACAATATTTCATAGGAAATTTGGATTCTGATTTATGCTTCTCCTTTCTGGTATGTGTTGTTTAGAGGGCTTGTTTATATATTTAGTTGGTTAGTTAGTTACTTATAGTGATTTAGCAGGAGTATTTTACTAAGTTCTCTTTCTCCTCATGTGTGAAGCCTCTGATGTTGCTCCTCAGAGGGCCCATACGTGGGCGTGCACATAGTCCTCTTTTGATGTCAGTGCTTTTAACAGGACTCTGTTTGAATGTCTCTTTCCCTTTTTACTCTGTTAAGATGTCTTCCTCTTCTGGTATTATAGCAAAGATCAAAGAGAAGTGTGTCTAACACTGTTACTCCAGGCCTAAATTCTATCATATAATCTCTGAACTACATTGCATAACTAAAGAACACTACTTACTGCAGCTGAGATATTATAAGTGGGCCTGACATTTTCATCATAGAGGGAACTGATGACAAATGAAATAACTATCTGTTATATTCTTCTTATCACATTCATCAGCTAGGCTTTCTGCATTTGCAATTTCAAAAAAAATTTCTATCTAAGCCAGAAATAGAGAGTAAAATATATTGGATATATTTGTACTAAGAATATTCTAAGATTATTATAGCATTGGTTTTTATGGACTACATTCTAAATGAATGAGTTCTAAGACCAATAATATCTAGCCAGTTTTATATGATATTTAATATAAAAATTCAACTAATTAAAAGAGGGAATTCATGAAAAGTTTTGCCCATGTAATAATGAACTATAGTTACTATTGTTATTAAAGATCCATATTTAATTAAACCCCAGAAAAGATAAATAAACTTGAAATAGTACATTTGTAAAATTCTTGTTCTTACCAGGGAGATTTGTTGGTTGTGTCTTGAGTTCTCCCTTTGTTATACCTCTCCGAATTGTATCTTTTGAGTGTTCCATGTTATTCCCTAGAGAAACAGATTTCAAAACACTTGTATGGTAAGCATTTACATACAAATGTGTGTGTGTGTGCGTGTGTGTAGGACTAACTTAACTAGCATTTGTTATTTTAGAAAAAGTTATACTGAAATGTTTGGATTGGAGAATCACAAAACCTTAAATTGGAACAGATGGAGAAATTATATAAGATACATTATATTGAAGTTTAAAGACATTTAATGATTTGACCAAAACAAAATATCCAGGGAATGATGAAATTGATGTACAACTTTATGCTGCATAATTCCTTAACCAATCCTTTTACTATACAATGCTCTCTCTTATGCAAATTGAAATCATCTCAGAGAATTTATGATAATAATATAATTCCCTGGTTTATGTAAAAACACATTCATTCTGTAGGGATGTACCTGGTGAGGTAGAACTTAACAATATTTTTCCACTAGTTGAGAACTAGTCTTCATAGTTCCGGAAACTTAAGTTGAGCCTGAAATTCTTTGACTATCCTATGAAAATTTTAACTCCCTTTTAGGTTACATAACTATAAATCATGTAGGCATCAGTGATGAAAAGAATAATAAGATATTCATTAGACTGAGAAAAAGTGCCCTCTGAGGTTCCTTTAGCATGTAGAGCTTGTGGTTGCAAGGAGGAAATGGTTAAATTTGCAGCAGTACCAGGACTCTGATTGGATCCACTTCCATTTGAGTTTTCATGTGATTCAAACTTTTGTTATAGTTAACAACTATTAACAAGGTTCAATGACATGAACAATATATAAAAATTATTAAAAAGGAATTCATATTGAGAAAGGGAAAACTAGGATTGGTGATCTAAGTCAACTCCTGGGCCAAAAGTTTTGCAAGTGGAAGTTGATTCTAGTAGAGCATGTAAATGTTGTTGTAGTCGTATAGTGTCACGACCTTGACACTATACAGTAGAAGTCTCGCTTTCACGAAACAGCTGGGCCCATGAATAAACGTAAAAGGTCACACTATGATTTTGGCAGCCCAAATGTACCATACTACATTCTTTACAGAGAGGGTACCAGCTGGGGTATCATTAACAAAATAAACAAAAACGCATCAGGTTAAGCAGACGAATTTTCAAAAATTATTTAACTTATTGTGAAAGTAATATCTACAACAACATGAAACTGGGAAACAGTAGCAGATTTTTAGCTCTTCTGGTCTTCAATGGATATAAGTAAGAAGAAGACAGTCATTTGAATAAAGAAAGCAAAACGTTCTCAGATAAGCAGGGAAGCAATCAAAATAGCATTTGAAGAAAGACTGGGTTAAGTACTAGGAATTAAAAGGTATGCACTGAAGAAACTTATAATCTAGTAAGAGACACAATTTTCCTTCTTACAGTATCCTCCCATTGCTTTAAATCTTTTAAAAATCTCTTACTACTTGTAGTTCACTAAGCTATTTTTATAAAATATAAAACATATACAATTTTCCCAAAGTATCCAATTCAACGGCTTCTTTAAAAATTATATTCAGAGTTGTATAACCATCATCACAGTCAATTTTAGAATCTACTTCAGAATTATACTAATAAAATTCCAGTGAGATTTAGAAATATTACTTCTATATAGCTCTGTTATCTCTGCCCCATTTTTGTGCTATTGTTATATATATTACACCTACAAATATAAAATCATTGTCATAATTATTTCTTTATATAACTTTACACCCTTTAAAGAAGCTGAGAAAAGATAGTATATATTTACAGTGTGTTACATTAACTCTCTTATTTGTAATTTATGGTTCTCTTCATTTGTTCCTGCAGATATGAGTTAACATCTAGTATCATCTTCTGGTTCAAATACATAGCTGCTCCCATACATCTCCTTTGTGCTGTTACTGAGGGTATATTACTTTCCCTTATTTTATAGGCCCAACAAAACAATGACATGCACACTGTTTTATACAATTGCCTTTTGAATCAACTAAGAGAAAAAAGGAGACAAAATATGCATTTATACTGTCTTTTGGAACTATAGAATACCTTTAATCCACAATCCTTGGAGAGGGATTTATTTATTTTTGCTGAGGAAGACTCACCCTGCACTAACATCTGTGCCAGTCTTCCTCTGTCTTCTAGTATGTGGGCCACCAGCATAGCATGGCTGCTAACAGAGTGGCATAGGTCCACGCCTGGGAACCAAACCCAGGCTGCCAGAGTGGAGCATGCCAAACTTAACCACTAAGCCACCAGGGCTATCCCTGGAGCAGACTTTAAATTAGTGTCCAAGGTAAACTACTTTAAGTATGAACAACTTTCTTTAGTATTTCTTATAAGCTGGGTCTGCTAACAACCAGTTCTCTCAGTTTTTACTTACTTGGAAATATCTTTATCTCATCTTCACTTTTGAAAGATAGTTTGGCTGGATATAAGATTTTGGTGACTTTTTTTTTCATTCAGCACTTTGAATATTCCATCCCACTGCCTTCTGGCCTCCATAGTTTCTGATACTAACTCAGCTATTTATCTTGCATCATTTTACGTGATGAGTTGTCTTGTTGCAGCATTCAGTATTATCTCTGTCTGTCTTTCATCACTTTTACTATGATGTGGCTGGTTGTGAATTTCTTTGTGCTTATTCTACTCAGATTTCATTAAGCTTGGTTGTGAAGATTCATATTTACCATCAAATATGTTTTAAAATTTTCAGCCATTATTTCTTCAGATATTTTTTCTGCTTCTTTTTCTCTGTTCTACTCCTATTGTTTGGACCATTCAAATCTACACTTGAACCCCTCTAGTGAATTTTTCCTTATACTTCTTGTACTTTCAACTGCACAATTTTCATTGTGTTTTCTCACAAAATAATTTCTCTTTTTTGATATTCTATATTTGATGAGATATGTCATCAATCTTCCTTTCCTTTTTAAGCATGGCTTTCTCTAACTCTTTAAAAATATTTATAACTATTTTATAGTATCCTACATTTAGGATAATCAGAAGAAGTTTTTGCAGGGTATAGTTCACACTTTAGTATTTATTTGCATGTCCCATAAGTTTTTAACAAAAGCTAGGAATTTTACATAATATATTGTAGCAAATCTGGATGGTGAGTTCCTCTCCCCTTTGGAGGCTTGTTGTTGTTGTTTGCCTGCTTATTTGTTTAGTGATTAGGCTGGACTATTTTCTATTTTACTGAAGTCTCCTTCACTGTAGCGTGAAGCTTCTAATGTTCTTCCTCTGAGGGCACAGACTTGGACATGCACACAATCACCTTAGGATGACAGTTGTTTTGAAAGAGCTCACTTTGTTCTTTCCCTTATTTCTCTGTGAAGCTCTCTGCCTCTTTTGGTATCACACCAAATATCAGGAAGAAGTATGTCAAACATTGTTATACCAGAACAAGAGACAGTAGTGTAAACTGTGAACTATATAACAAAACTACAGATCTCTACTTCACCTGAGATATTATAAATTTGCCTGATTTTTTGGTTATCTAGAGGGAATTAGTAACCAACGAAATAACTATCTGCTAAATTCCTCTTTGTATCACATTCATAAGCTAACATTTCTGCTTTTGCAAATACAAAGCAACTATCCTATCTAGCCTGAAAAAAAAACAGTGAGTATAATACCATTTGAAATGCTCCCATCAAGCATATTCCAAAGTCACTCTAGCATTGGATTTTACAGATCACTTTTTTTAATTGATGAGCACTAAAACTTATAATATGTAGTTAATCTTCCATTGATAGCAACTGCTAGAGCTCCAGTAATTACAGGAGGGAATTTATGAGACATTTTATCATGTAATAATAGCACATAGGTACTGTAGTTGTTAAAGATCCAAACTTAAGTAAACTCCAGAATAAAAATAAACCAGAAATAGACGTGAAATTTTCTTGTTCTTACCAGAACGACTCTTTGATTGTGTCTTGATTTCTTCCTTTATTGTACCTCTTCCAGTGACATCTGGGAAGTGTTTTGTATCAGTCTCTATAAAACAGTTTCAAAACACTTGTAAGACTTTTTAAAAAATCCTATCCTGCTTGGAGTTCCCTGAGCTATTTTTTAAAAGCCATATACTATACAATTTGCTTGTTTTAAATGTCTAATTAATGGTTGTTAATATAATCATAGCATTGTATAACAATCACCACAATTTTAGGATCTACTTTGGATTTACACTAATTAAATTTCAGTGACATTTAGAAATGTTACTCTCATATTATACATATATAGTCCCATGTATAACTCTAAATTCCTATTTTGTTTTTTTTGTTTTCACTCTTGTTATACACATTGCACCTATAAATAAATTACAATTTTTATTTTAATTATTTCTTTGCATAACTTTGTGCCCATTAAAGAAACTGAGAGAAGAAGAAGAGCAACTAAGTATGTATAGTGTTTGCTATATTAACTAATTTATTTATAATATCTGATTTTCTTTTCAGCCATTATTTTAAATTATATTTTTGATCTTTAATCTCTCTGCTCTCCTAGTGTTTCAATACTTTGCTGATTCTTTCTTCTAATAGTGTAAATCTACTGAGCACCTCTAGTCAATTTTTAAATTTCAGTTATTGTACTTTTCAACTCCTAGATTTCCATGTAGTCTTTTTCAAAAAAGTATCTTTCTCTCTGTAGATATTTCCTATTTGATGAGACATTATCATCATACCTTCCTTTTCTTCTTAAGAATGGTTACCTTTAGTTATTTGAATATATTTGTAACTGCTTTTTAGTTTTGTTCTTTAAGTCCAACATCTTAGATTCTTACGAGCAGTTTTTATTGCATGTCTTTTTACTTATGTCTCACACTTTACTGTTTCTTTGCATGACCCATAATTTACGCTGAAAATTGGAGCTTTTAGACATATAATGTAGCATTTCTGCATATTGATTTCGTCTTCCTCTTTCCGGGAATATTATTATTGTTTTCTTGTTTATTTTTTAGTTATTTAGCTGAATTATTGTACTGAAGTCATTTCCTTCTGCAGTTTGAAGGAAGGTACCAAACAAGGTAAATAAACCAGAAATATTAGACGTGCAACATTCATGTGCTTACCAGGGAGACTCTTTGCTTGCATCTGCATTTCCCCCATTAACATCCGTCTTCCAATAACATCTTTCAAGTATTCTACATCAGTCTCTATAGAAAAAAGTAGATATCAAAACACTTTGTAAGATAACCCTAACATACAAGTGTATGTATGTAGTACTACATTAATTAGCCTTGTTATTAATGAATGTGTTATAATGAAATGTCTGGATTGCAGAATCAGTAAACCTTGGAATTGAAAGGGCTGTTAGCAATCATTAAGCCTCCATATATTGGGGCTAAGAGATGTTTATGATTTGACCAAGATTGTGTATCCAGATAATGACAAAATTGACCCACAAACTTACCTCATAATTCTTTAACCAGTGCTTTTTCTATACAATGCTCCCTCTTACACTAAAGTAAAGTATCCTGGAGAGTTTATGATAATATTATAACTTTTAAGTTTACATTAAAATCATAATCATACTGTAGGGATTACCTAATGATACAGGTGGGAGACAGCATTTTCTTTCACAGGTTATGTTGCAAAACATGGTCTCCATCGTCACAGAAAATTATCATGGGACAGAAATTCTTTGACTCATCTAGGAATATTTTCATACCCTTTTATGTTAATTAACTGTAAACAAAGTAGACATGGTGATGGAAATGAATGATGGGATAGTTTGCAGACTGCCTCTCCAGGCCCCTTTAGCATATAGATCATGTAGCTTGCGAAGAGGAAATGGTTAACTTTGCAAAAGTACTTGAATTGAGGTTGGGTCTCTTTCTATTTGAGTTTTTATGTGATTTGAAATTTTTGCTTGCTTCAGAAACTGAAACTAGGTCCAATTGCAGGAAAAATACATGGACATTATTAAAGAGGAATTCTTCCCCCAAAAAAGAATGATTTCGAATAGCCACTTAAGGTCAACTACAGGCATATCTCATTTTTATTGCACTTTGCTTTATTGCAGATATATCATTTTTCACCAATAAAATATTTGTGGCAATCACACATTGAGCAGATCTATGGGCACCATTTTTCCAAAAGCATTTGCTCACTTCATGTCTCTGTGTCACATTTTGGTAATTCTCATAGTATTTCAAACTTTTTCCTTATTATTATATTTGTTATGGTGATCTGTGATCAGTGATCTTTGATGTTACTATTGTAATTGTTTTGGTGCTCCATGAACCATGTCCATATAAGATAAGAACTTAATCGATAAATGTTGTGTGTTCTGACAGCTCCACCAACTGGCTGTTTCTCCATCTCTCTCCCTCTCCTCAGGCTGTCCTATTCCCTGAGATATAACAATACGGAAATTAGGTTGATTAATAACACTACAATGGCCTCTAAGTGTTGAAGTGAAAGGAAGAGTTGCACATTTCTCACTTTAAATCAAAAGCTAGAAATGCTGAAGCTTAGTGAGGGAGGCATGTTGAAAGCTGAGATAAACTGAAAGTTATGCCTCTTGCATGAAACAGGCAAGTTGTGAATGCAAAGGAAAAGTTCTTGAAGGAAATTAAAAAGTACTAATCCAGTGAACACATGAATGATAAGAAAGTGAAACAGCCTTATTGATGATATGGAGAAAGTTTTAGTGGTCTGGATAGAAGATGAAACCAGCCAAGACGAAACCTAATACAGAGCAAGGCCCTAACTCTCTTCAATTGTGTTAAGTTTCAGAGAGGTGAGGAAGATGCAAAAGAAAAGTTTGAAGCCAGCAGAGGTCAGTTCATCAGTTTTTGAAAAAAAGCCATCTCCACAACATAAAAGTACAAAGTGAAGCAGCAACTGCTGATGTGCTAGTTGCAGCAAGTTATCCAGAAAATCGTCAAGATAATTCATGAAGGTGGCAACACTAAATAACAGATATTCAATGTAGATAAAATAGCCTTATATTGGAAGCAGATGCCATCCAGGACTTTTATAGCTAGAGAGGAGAAATCTTTTACTCCTTCCTTTTTAGTCTGGATCTCTTTTATTTCTTTTTCTTGCCTATTTGTTCTGGCTAGGATTTCCAGTACTATATGCAGTAAAAGTGGCAAGACTGGACATTGTTGTCTTATTCTTGATCTTAGAGGAAAAGCTTTTAGCTTTTCACCATTGAGTATGATGTTAGCTGTGGGCTTGTCATACATGCCTTTATTATGTTTAGATACATCCCAACTATACATAATTTTTTGAGAGTTTTTATCATGAAAGATGTTGAAAATGCAAATGTTTTCTCTGCATCTATTGGGATGATATGATTTTTATCCTTCAGTTTGTTAATGTGGTATATCACATTTACTAATTTGTGAAGGTTGAACTATCCTTGCATTCCAGAGATATCTCACTTGATCATGGTATATGATCCTTTTCATGTGCTGTTGAATTTAGTTTCCTATTATTTTGTTGAGGATTTCTGCATCTATGTTCATCAGGGATATTGGCCTGTCATGTTTTTTTATTTTAGTGTAATTCTCTGAATTTGGTATAAGGGTGTCCCAGTCACACAAAATGAGTTTGTGTGTGTTCTCTCCTCTTCAATTTGGAAAGATTTTGAGAAGGATTCAGATTAATTCTTCTTTATTTATTTGGTAGGATAAACCAGTGAGGCCACCTGGTCCTGAATTGTTCTTTGTTTGGAGATTATTGATTACTGATTCAATCCCCTTACACATTATTAGTCTGTTCAGATTTTGCATTTCTTCATTATTCAGTCTTGATAGGTTTTATCTTTCTTGGAATTTATCCTTTTTTCCTCAGTTATCTGTTTTGTTGGCATACAATTATTCATAGTGGTTTCTTGTGATCCTCTGTATTTCTGTGGTATCAGTTGTAATGTGCTCTCTTGTATCTCTGATTTTATTTATTTCCATATTCTCTCTTTTTTCTTAGTGTAGCTAAAGATGTGTCAATTTGTGTATCTTTTCAAAGAACCAACTCTTACTTTTGTTAATCTTTTGTATTGTCTTTCTAGTCTATACCTTATTTGTTTCTTTTCTGATCTATGTTATTTACTTCCTTCTATTAATTTTGGGCTTAGTTTGTTCTTCTTTTTCTGCTTCCTGGGGGTATAAAGTCATATTGTTCAACTCTCTTTTTTCTAATATAAGCATTTGTCACTATAAACTTCGCCTCTCAGAACTACTTTCTCTCCATCCTTACAGTCAGTTTCTGAAATTTATCTTGTTCTTTGATTCAGAATATAGTCCCTTTGTCTTCATTTTCCTTGACTCCCTTTGTTGGTTTCTGTGCATTAGATAAAACAGCCACCTCTTTCAGTCATGACAGATTGGCCTTGTGTAGGAGTGAACCTTGCCAATAAGCCTGGCTCGATCTTCCAGGTGCCTCTCAAACCTTTGCAATTGCACAAAGCACCACCTTTGTTCTTTGTTCTTAGTGGCTTCCAGGAGACTAGTCAGTGCCCCAAATTCCTTGGAAATGCCCACACACCCATTCATGTTCTTGGATGACTACTAACTGTCTGCCCTTTAGCTAATTAGGGCAAGTCTAGTGGTAATGCCTTGAATGTTAGGAGCTCTCTTATTCTTTGTAGTTCATCTTTGTGCTTCACAAGTCCACAAGACTTTCTTACCATTTTGAAGATGGCTTTTCCTTAAGTGGATATTTTCTTGGTTACTATAACATATGATTGTTTCCCACTGCTCTGCTAAAGTTGGTTCTGACAGTTTCTGCTTATTTTTTTCAATGTTTCTGTCAGGGAGCAAGAGCTTGGTGCCTTGTAGTCTACCACTTGCTGATGTCTGCCTTAAAGTGGTTGTTTGGAAGTTGCCGCAGAACACTTAAGTTTGTATTTTATTGCAAAGTACTCAGTCACTTGGCCACACTAGCTTTAGCACATATTCTATTTCTTACATGGTTTTTTTACCATTAGAAATTTCCCAACTTTGTGATAGGCAGATCACAAAGCAGCCATATTGCCTATCTAGATTTTTATTCCATCTTGTTATTACAAAAGATGATATAAGTAATCAAAATTGTGTTCTCTAAGAAAGTGGTCATATAGCATCTAGTTTATGTTACGAAAATTCACAATATAAGGGAAAGCCTATATATTTTTGTTTCATGAGCAGGTAAAGGGAAATTATTAAGCATTACCTAATTAATTTTTGGTAGAATAATGAGTCACACAATAATATTTTAAATATACATATTAATTGATAGATTGATTGATTACAATGAAATTATTATTAAGTTAAGACAGACTGCCCTATGTTTGAATTTCTTATTCTCTTTTAACAACAGACTATACAGTTGAAATACTGTAACTCTTAATTATGTTCTACTGTGTCCAAACATTATAAATCTCTACTTACCTAAAACTTTGTTTAAATCTAATTGCAATATTAGGTCACTAGTTGATGGATTTATTGCTGGAAGATTTTCTGCAGTATCTGGAAGTTCTGAAGCCACTTCATTTTTAACTGGAATAATAATAGATTGCCAGATTAATTAATTTAAAACTAACATTTTGTTTGAGGTAAAATTATAGTACATAAAATTAGAGATATTTCACCTTAGAATTATTTAACCTTATTTACTTAACAATTTAACATACTGATTATTCAATTAAATACAAATATGTCTAATAATTTTTAAAAGCTTACTAAATAGCTACTATGTGCCAGATATTATACTACGTACTTTTCAGATATTATCTCATTTAATCCTCACAAGAATACTAGGCAGTAGGTATTTTACTCCCATTTAACAGATGAGGGAAGTAGAGCTTAGTGGGATTATGCATATTTTGGAAGGTCACACAGTTATTAAGTGCAAAAGCTTCAAATAAATTTTGCTCTTTTAGACTCTAAAACCTATTCTCTAGCTAGTAAACTCAAATGTCTACTGGGACTGAGCATGTAATGTGAGTGAAATGAACCTGGTGATGTTCAAAGTGGCATGAACAGCAGAAGTGAAGAATAGAAGAAGTGAAGAGTAAATATTTTATATAAGGCTATTGCTCTCACTGACTGTTACAAATGCAGGCCTATGTTCCTGGATCATCTAAATTCTCAAGAGAAGCTAGAAATGTAGATATTTACAAGGAATTCTAAGATTTTGGAATATTTGCAAGTAATTTAGAAGTTTTAAGCATATTTGTAGGACAAAACAAATCATCAGCTATTGCCACAAGAGAATTACCTAAATTTAGGAAAGGATTAATTCTATCACATGGTTGGAATTTGAGAGCCAATTACTAGTTTATGTTTCTTTGGAAAATATCATGATTTACCTACCAATATATCTCTCTACATTAAAATCTGGATAAAATTGGCACTTTCAAAATAAAAAAAAATAAGCAAAATATGCCAGGAAAAAATGGAAAGAATAATTAAAAATTAAAATTTTCAATTAAACTAATAACCTTTCAACAGTGCCAAGCCCAGATATTTTCATGAGTGGAATTCTTTATAATTCTTCAAGGATTGAATATTATGCTATAGCACATAAAAATGGAATTTTTCCATTTCTTTTTTTAAAATGTAAATCAAGAATTTTTTTTAAGGAAGATTGGCCTTGAGCTAACATCTGTTGCCAATATTCTTTTTTTTTCTCCCCAAAGCCCAGTACATAGTTGTATGTCCTAGTTGCAAGTCATTCTGGTTCCTCTACGTGGGATGCTGTCACAGCATGGCTTGATGAGTGATGCTGAGGATTTAAACTGGTAAACCCCAGGCCACTAAAGGGGAACACGTGAACTTAATCACTCAGCCATGTGGTTGGCCCTCTCCATTTCTTTTACAAAGTCAAAATAGTCATTACAATGATATTGACATTGATATAGACATAATTGGCATAACTGACATAAAAATACTGCAGATAGAAATATAATAATGCAAGTCACATATGTAATTAAAAGTAATAATGGCTCCATTAAAAATTCAAGAAACAAGTAAAATCAATTTTAGTAATGTTTTATTTAACCAAATATATACAAAACATAATTTTTACATATATTCAAAATAAAATCAATGAGATATTTTACGTAATTATGTTCATAGTAGGTCTTCAAACTCAAATGTGTATTATAAACTTAGAGTACATCTCAATTTGAACTAGCTGCATGTCAAATGCTCAATATCCATATGTGGCTAGGGTTGCCACATTACACATTACAGCTTTAAAATATAAAAGCAAAAATCTTAAATAAAAAGCAAGGAAATAAAATTTCATTCGCAGAATACAAGGTAGGTTTATCTATTAATATAGTTACCATATTAATGGTTCTAAAGAGAAATCATGTCAGATTATCTTAAGGTAAAAATTCATTTAAAAAACTTATAAATTCTTTTTAAATTTTTCCCAGTTTTAATGAGATATAATTGACATAAATATTGTGTAGGTTGAAAGTTTACAATATGATGATTTGATATGCATATATATTGCAAAATGAATACCACAATAAAGTTAACACAATAAAAGCAACCTATAGAATAGGAGAAAATATTTGCAAACTACATATCAGATAAGAGGTCAATATTCAAAATATATAAAGGATTCATACAACTCAATAGCAAAAACACTAATAACCCAATTAAAAATGGGCAGAGGATCTGAATAGACATTTTCCCAAAGAAAACATACAGATGGCCAGGAGGTACGTAAAAGATGTTCAGCATCACTGATCATCAAGGAAATGCAAATCAAAACCACAATGAGATATTATCTCACACTGTTAGAATGATTATTATCAAAAAGACAAGCGTGGTCAGCCCCATGGCATAGTGGTTAAGTCCAGCATGCTCCACTTTGGTGGCCTTGGTTCATGGGTTCACATCCCAGGCGTGGACCTACACCACTCATCAAGCCATGCTGTGGCAGTGACCCACATACAAAATAGAGAAAGACTGGCACAGATGTTAACTCAGGGCTAATCTTCCTCAGGCAAAAAAAAATAGAGAGAGAGAGAGATAACAAGTGTTGGTGAGGATGTGGAGAAAAGGAAACCCTTGTGTACTGTTGGTGGGAATGTAAATTGATACAGCCACTATGGAAAACTGTATGGAAGTTCCTCAAAAAATTAATAATAGAACTGCCTTAAGATTCAGCATTCCCACTTCTGGGTATATATCTGAAGGAAATGAAATTAGGATCTCAAAGAGATATCTGCACTCCCATGTTCATTGCAGCATTATTTCCAATAGTCAAGATATAGAAACAATCTAGATGTCGTTCTGCAGATGAATGGATAAAGGAAATGTCATATATCTATATCTATCTACCTATCTATATATATATACACACACATACACACACAATGAAATATTATTCAGCCATAAAAAATAAGGAAATGCTGCCCTTTGCAACAACATAGATGGACCTTGAGGGCATTGTGATAAGTGAAATAAGTAAGACAGAGAAAGACAAGTACTATATGATCTCACTTATATGTGGAATCTAAAAAGTGCCAAACACAGGGTGGCGCAGTGGCATAGTGGTTAAGTTTGCATGCTCCACTTTGGTGGCCTGGTGTTTGTGGGTTTGGATCTCAGTCACAGACCTACACACTGCTCATCAAGCCATGCTGTGGTGGCATCCTACATACAAAATAGAGGAAGATTGGCACAGATGAGAGGTCAGGGACAATGTTCCTCACCAAAAAAACCCCAAAACCTGCCAAATTCATGAAAACATAGAGTATAAAAGTGGTTGCCTGGGGCCTGAAGGTGGAGGAAATGGGGATATGTTGGTCAAAGGGTGCAAACTTCTGATTATGAGATTGATAAATTCTGGGGATATAATATCTAGCATGGTGACTATAGTTAACAGTAGTGTACTGTATACCTGAAATTTCCTAAGAGAATAGATATTAAATGTTCTCACTATAAAAAAAATTAACATTTATGTGAAGTGATTATTTCTTTTGCCGTGCAGAAGCATTTTAGTTTGATGTAGTTCTTGCTCATTTTTGCTTTTGTTGCTTGTGATTTTAGTGTCATATCCAAAAAATTGTTGCCAAGACCGATGTGAAGGATCATTTTCCCTGTTTTCTTCTAGAAGATTTATGGTTTCAGAGGTTTTACATTTAAGTCTTTAATCCATTTCAAGTTGCTTTTTGTGTATAGTGTAAGATAGAAGATCAATTTCATTCTTTTGCATGTGGATATCCACTTTTCCCAACACTGTTTATTAAAGAGACTATCCTTTTCCCGTTGAATATTCTTGGCTCCCTTGTGTGATATTAGTTGACTGTTTATGCATAGGTCCTCTGGACTCTCAATTCTGATTCATTTGTCTATGTGCCTATTTTTATGCCAACACTATACAGTTTTGATTACAACAGCTTTGTAGTTTATACTTTGAAATCTCTGAAAGTGTGATGCCTCCAGATTTGCTCTTCTTTCTCAAGATTGCTTTAGCTATTTGGGGTCTTTTTTGGTTCCACAAAAATTTTAGGATAGTTTTTCTATTTCTGTGAAAATTCCATTGGAATTTTGACGATGATTGCATTAAATCTGTAGATACAATTGGGTAGTACGCACATTTTAACAACATTAATTTTTCTTATCCATGAACACAAGATATCTTTCCATTTATCTGTGTCTTCTTCAATTTCTTTCATCAAAATCTTATAGTTTTCAGTGTACAGGCATACCTCAGAGATACTGTGGGTTTTGTTCTGGACTACCACAATAAAGGGAATATCACAATAAAATGAGTCACACAAATATTTTGGTTTCCCAGCGTATATAAAAGTTATGTTTACATTATAGTCAAGCGTTCACTAGCATTATGTCTAAAGAAGCAATGTACATACTTAATCAAAAAATATTTGATTGCCAAAAAATGCTATCATCTCGGCCTTTAGCAAGGTGTAATGTTTCTGCTAGTGGAGGGTCTTGCCTCGATGTTGATAGCTGCTGACTGATCAGGACAGTGGTTGCTGAAGGTTGGGTGGTTGTAGCTATTTCTTAAAATAAGACAATATTGAAGTTTGCTGCATCAATTGACTCTTCTTTTCATGAACAATTTCTCTGTAGCATGCGATGGTGCTTGACAGCATTTTATCCATAGTAGAACTTCTTTCAAACCCTACTGTTGCTTTATCAATTAAGTTCATATAATATTCTAAGTACTTTGTCATCATTTCAACAATCTTCACCAGGAGTGATATCATCTCAAGAAACCATTTTCTTTGCTCATCCATAAGAATCAACCCCTCATCATTAAAGTTTTATCATGAAGTATCAGCAATTAAGTCACATCATCAGGGTCCGCTTCTAATAATCCTAGTTCTCTTGCTATTTCCACTACATCTTCAGTTACTTCTTCCACTGAAGTCTTGAATCCCCCAAAGTCCTCCATGAGTATTGGAATCAACTTCTTCCAAACTCTTGTTAATGTTGATGTTTTGTTTTCAGTATTTCTTTTTATTGCCAAATAATATTCCACTGTATGAATATATCACATTTTATTTATT